CAGGATTTAAAACACTGGAAAAGTTATGTGGAATCGTTGAAATATAAAATAAATTCTAATTGAATAAACTGAAAATAGATTATAATCTATTTAAATATAATATGGTTCATTGCCTGGTACCAACGACTTCTGCAAATTCAAAAGGAGGCCAAAAAAGTCACAACCCTACTGTTTAGTTTCTCGCCAGCGTATTGGCACTTTTTCAAGGCACTTTATTTCATGAATTCGCGAACTATGCATAAACGGGACCATTTTTGAATTCATGAATTCTATCGCATAAACGTAGTAATAAATGCAAGGCATTTTAAAGATCCCTAAATCGAAATTATTTTTGATAAGGTTGCCAGCTATTTTGAATCACATATTTATTGAATTTCTTGTTTAGAAAAAAGGTAAAATATTACTATTCGTAGGTACCAAGAGAAGGTTCTTAAACAATGCTTTCCCTATATACAAAATGTTATCTCTTAGGATAATAGTGTAAGGTTGCCACTTATTTTCGATTCACACAATTTCGAAACACAATTTATCTAAAACATCGCAATACGGATATCAAATGAAAGGTATTGTTGAGAATTTCGGTCAGAATATATTTTCATCAGGGTTGCCACGCTTCTGTGTAATACAAATTTTTATTCTGTTAATTTCAATCAACATTTTTTTATGTATACATAGTACGTATACGCTCAAGATGTGTACCATTCATTCCAGCGTATTCCAGAATAGGGTTGCCGCCTAAATTTTAGAATAAGTAGTTTACTTTATAGATATCGAAATAATTTTTTTTTTTTGTTTATTTACAAAATATTTTTTAAAGCTATCAAAATCTTGAATACTTTAAAAAGTATATGCCCTCTGGGCAAAGCTCGGTACTTAAAAATGAGGTATGCACCGCGACCTAGTGATCTATTGTGACCTCTCCTCATCACAATACTTCTTATATGCAGTAAATGTGCTCAAGCTGTGGCCTCTTCGAGCCTTGACTTCTCTCACGTCATCTGCAGATGGCCTCACTCTCGATAAAAATATTTAGTAGTGTCTCACTGGTCAAGTCGCAGAACTGACATACATCAGCTTATACAGAAGCCCGCTTAGTCTGCAGTAGTATCCTAAGTTAATCCATTGAAAGGTTAATTAAATTTTGGAACCTCTTATTATTGTACTCTGTCAGCAGACTTTTTGCCTGCCGCAGTCCTACTGAGCCACGCCAGCTTAGATCCCTTAGTGCGTTTCTCTACTTCCTGAGCTCTTACTCAAAAGTATTAGGACTAACTGCCAGGAACGGCTCAGGGAGTGATAGCTGCCGCCTCTCTTGTGACACAGTTCTCCATCTCATTACCTTCTATACCCCTGTGGCCAGGAACTACCTATAGAACTGCGAGTATTGCCGTATTTACTTACATACGTCAAAAGTTGAGAGTTGGCAAATGTTTGCTGGTACCGTCGACGCATTCTCATGCCGCTAGAGGTGCTGACGGCGCGACAAAGTCATTTCCGTTTCGGAATTGTGCGATTGGTGTAGAAATTTGAAGTGGGTTGTGTGGATCAGTAGTCAATCACTTATATAATATTTGGTTTTTATTGGTGGGGTTGTGTATTGATCGTCCTTGGTCCACAACGAAAGCTAGATCTTGGAAATAAGAAAGCGTAAAATCATGCGATCGAATCAGTTCTTGGTGGGTACTACCCAACCAAAGCGCGAAATGTTTCATTCTCCTGACAAGTGATTAGCCACTGGTAAGACTGGAGAAAGGCCATCGAGCAAAACATAGACTATCCGTAAAGAAAGAAGCTAAATGACCTTCATGGCCACAGCGTCAAGATAAGACGCAGTAGCCGCATCGACAACATCGCGCGCCGACCCATCGGCATTGAGCAAGCAGAACTGCTTGACACAGTTTCCTTGCAGGTAGTGCCATAGACTTAATAGCTATCTGTTTCGATTTCATTTAGAAGAGGAAACACCTGCCTAGCTTGCGTCAAAACCTCTTCGCATGCACCTAAACCCAAACACCTAAAGCATTGTGGACTGCTTCCATCCACGTTGGCCACTATCTCACTGTTACGGATATTGTTGTTATATCAGTTTGTTTGGCAGTTTAGGCATCTTGTCCCCGCGACTTCTTCAGCCCAAACTCCAGGATACCGCGTTTTTCGCTTGGCTGTCAGATGGATTGAGTATGTGGAATGCCGCCTGCATGTCCAATTTCGTCGGTAAAGATGATATTGGGGCGCTTTATCAGCACTGTGTCGGGACTGCGGTTGATGGTTGCAAGGTAGACTCTTAGCGACTAGCAGTTTGATGAAGGCCGGCCGATAGCTTTGTAGGTAACAAGAATACTCTCTTTATTTCCTTTGGCATTACTCGGCCCTGCTTAGATGAGGGTCTGTCTATCATTCGTCGTCATCAAGGTAATAGTAAGCCCAAAGTTGTTTCGGCGGGGTGTAATTAATGGGTGAGGAGGTTAGCTGAGTGAGTTTACTTGTAACCCCTTCAATAGCCGCACATCCTGTGTTGGGCGATCAAGACCATAAATTCACCAGAGTTACATACTTGGGCCTCACAAGGCAGCTAAAGGCGGTTTGCTTGCGATAAGTGATATTTGAACTTCGATAATGGTATTCACAGGACGAGAATTTGTTAAGGGGAAGTTTGTGTCCCACGATAATTCATTAGTAGCCTTTTTGTAAAGAGTTAGGTCCTGTGGTTTTAGGCGGATGGCTCGTGCCCAAAAATGGCTCTGTTGCAAGTCAGTGACCGTTCGGTTTAAGTACCGGACTTACATAGAATTCTTATTCGGAACTCACAAATTCGGTAACGTTTACAAAGCATTTTTGGAGATGTTTTACTTGCTTTACTTTATTCAAACGCACCCCTTGTGCAACCCCCAAAGAAGCCTATGTACCATTGTATATACATACGGTATGTCTAAAGAAATATTTCTATGTACAACTCGCACGCGCTCTGCATTAGCGTAAGCTCGCTTTTTTTGCACCGCATTTCTACCAGTATATACATACATATGGACATATATGTAAGTTACAGCTCATAAACTGTCCCAGACCATGGCCAACTTTTTACGCGAATACGTACAAATCGAAAATTCGTATGTATACAAAGCAACCAGAAACATGTAGAAAAAAGGCAACCGATCGATATTTCCACCGCAGCTGAACGCAACGAAAGCTGCAAAGTAACGAGAACAGCGAAATACAATAACAACACACTTGGCATGCAAAGATTTCTCTACTTGTAGAGCAACCACCTTCTTTGTTCAGGCATCTCTTACCCCCTTTTTTTTCGGGCATGCGCATGCGCTGTTTTAAGCTGCATTTCCGGTGCCAAAATGGGGTTGACTGTCACTTTTTGTGGATTGTGGGTGGAAAGGGTGGCATTATGACTGTATACAGAATTTTGCACGTACTCACAATGGGAACAAAACTCATTACATATGTTTGTATGCGTATGATGAAAAGGACAACAGGTATAGTAAAAAAGAGGTGCGAGTATAAGCCACAGCGCAATATGACTGAAAAGGGAATTGAAATAACAGGACAAACAAAGCAAAAGAAGCAAAGGAATTGAGGTTTTGTGAGAGAAGTCCACAAAATTTTTTACAACAGAGGTACAACCACTGGACTCGGCACTATATACACAGGCAAAAAACGACATTCACCACCCTCCCTAGCATGTCGTTATCGGTATTCAATCGCCATCAACTTCATAGGAAGAGCGTCAGCTGCAAAGAAACGGGCGTTACTCTGGCTCAAGTACGTTCTGGATACTATAGATATGCTATACATAAGCTCTATCTAGACTAGAACCGGACGCACACAATGTCCGGCATATTCCCCACAAGATACTAACTACGTCTTCACCTCAACCCAACTCAACTAGCGTCTCTCTCTCTGGTCTGACACAATCGAAACTGTACGCCAAGGATTGAGGGATTAATCGACTCTAGGCAGAGTTAAATAGCCGCTACAATAACAACATCAGTTTGAACTTTATCCTAAGCTCTATGGGTACTTTGACTTATTGAAAACTCCAGTTCATAGAACCGTTCGTAACAGCTGCGTCGCAAATGAGCTGGCATTCACTTAACTCAGTAGGGGTATTCTCTAAGTCTTGCAAGACCTTTGCTTCGTGCATGGACTGCACCGTATAACCAGTTTTGCTAACCGTGCAAACTGTGCACAGTTCAAATCTTTGTAAGACTTAGAGTATACCCCTAGAAGTATCCACTGAACTAAAAGTGTCTAGATAACAAGGTCAAGGAACCAAGATCTCTGAACATAGAGGTACTATTCCGCAGATGAGCTAACATTCACCAAACTCTATTGAAAGGGCAGGTACCTGTAGTTTTTTTACTTCTTAAGTTTTCTTTCTCCAATTTTATAATAAGTTGTTTGATTGGTCTGGAAAATGTCTCGGATGATTTTTTGGTCTCAGCCCAAACCGGCAAACGGCATCAGCGCCAAATAAGAAAATGTAGTTCACACACCTCACCATATAATCGAGATACACGACAAGCGAGTGAGATATTCTACGAATGACTTATGTCACAGCTATGCGGACTCCATATCCTCGAGTCTCTTCATGACCAACGCCAATACTCCAATCTACACGAAATGCTACTTCAAAAAAAAAGAAGCAAAAACTCCGCTTATTTTGTATTCTAATAGCTTAAGTTAACAAGCCTTCGAATAAACACAACAAAATAAAAAAAGTATTGCAACTAATTAAGTAACAGATGGATCTCCAACAAAAAGAAAACCTGATGCAACATGACACAAACTATAGCAGCAAATTGACAGAAGTTGCTGGCTATAAATTGAATGAACAGAGTTAAAAACAACAACCATTTTCTCAAATTGCTAAACTACGCACCGAGCGACAATTAATTGCTGCTGTACGCCTGCCAGTTGTTCTACATACATAACTATTTATTGTTGATTTCGTAACCACGAAGTACTTTGTGGCGTACAGACATACGTACATACATGTGTGGCAAAACGATTTCATTCTTTATTCGTCCGATGCCTCTGTTAGTTTCGTGTTGTTGCTCATGCTATTGTTGACATTCTAGGGTAGATGAACTTGTACTTGGTTGTAGTTGTAGTCGGTTGGTATGCGGTATCAGCAGCAGCAGCTGAAGCTATAGTACCAACAACTTTTGCAGCAACTATAATTTATATGCAATTTTCACAGCAACAACAATAAAAATAGTCTGAATACTTGCAATTCATTGCTGCATGTTTTTACTCGTTCATGCGCGCCAGGAGTGCTCTCTCTTCTTCCTCCCTCATTTTTTCTCTGACTATGTCGCTCTTCTCTATTTTCATTGCTGCAATTTGCACAATGCTGCTACATATTCTGTTCGTGTGTTCGAGAAGAGGTCATCTCGTCCGCGGAAGCCCTTTCACGCTTCTCGTTTGTGGCATAACTCGAACCGTTTAAAGCTTGAATACGAGTTCTTTTGTACTCATTAAGGTAAAATCTTAATGGTCATGCAATTTCGCATTTCGTACTTCTTCGTTGCTGTTGTAACTGATACTAGCTTGATTTTCTTGACTTCATTTAACGGTATCTGTTATATGGCTTTTACTCCATTATTCTTATCGTTTGACATTGCGTGAGTGGCCGCAATTTCAGCGGTGGGCATTTGATTATTGATTTTAAAACTAAGTCACTATTTAAAAAAAAAAAAGTAGAAAAAAATTCAAAGTAAGTACATAATCAACTTTTCACTACAAAAATAGGCAAACCTCTTGCAAACAAGACCTTTTTTGAACTAAGTCAGTGACGCTCAAAACGTAGGCCTTATACAAAGGCTATTTTATGCAAATGTGCACTGGGTAAATGGTAAAGTCTTCTTTCGTTTGAGACCCAAAATTTCCGGTTGAGAGCATGATATACCATTTTTCCCATTATGATCAGACAAGTCTTGGAGTGTTCGAGGTAGAGATTCGTGGAATCTCTAGTTCCATCGAATGCACCTGGCGATGCAGGATGAGTTCGGTCTATCGGCAAAAGAAAAGGAATACCTTCTCCGCGTTAAAAAAATTAGATGGATGAAAACTAGAGCAACCTGGAAATTGGCAGCGGATAGTCGGACAAAGGAGTAAAAAGGAAGCGATCATAAAATGCATATAATCCTCAGCCCATAAAAATTCAGCAGAGCAAACACTAAGTGCCCTTCGGGGATGAGTTAAAAATTATTGAAACACGACTGGACGTGGTTACTCTGTAAGGTTTATCAGGATCGTCTCTGACTCAAGGCAAATGGTACGCTAGGCAAGCCAACGTGTTAAAATCGGAATGCGACACGTGAGCTACCCACGGATAGACTTCCAGAACCTCCTAACCTCACCATGACCACTAGTGATTTCTCTCTGCCTTGTCGAATAATTACGAAAAGTTATCCCATCTAAAAGTGGACGGGCCTGAAGCTAAGAAAGGACGTTTACAAATATTTCTAAAATGAGTAGATAAGGATAATTTGTTCAATACCAGACAGTTTAGCCGTCAGTTTTCGTCGTTAAAGCGATGCAGTTGTCGTCAGGTACAAAACCCAAAAGTGATTCGGAAAACAAATATACTTATTCAGAAACGAAAGGAAAGAAACCCACTTAGTATCTTGAATCAGACGTTAGTATCTGGAGCGTTCTGCTCACGAGATTCATTAATTCGTCAAACGTCAAATGCTGGAACTCCGCTGCTCCGGCATGCATTTTTATTGAGTAGAAATTTACATTTTTGAAGAGGGATACCGAGAGTATACCTTGTATCTGTACCAGGCAATGTCGCTCCATGACGCGCCAGTTCGTCAGCCTTGCAGTTGCCGATGAAAATGTAAGTAAGTATGCGTCGACCACTGAAGGCCTATGGCTTTAAAGATCATAAAAAGACATCTTAAGGTCACTGCAGAGTTTCGAGCGAAACATTTTAAAAATTACTTCAATGAGTACCGTTCATTCAAATTTTTATAAAAGTGCTGACTTTTTTTGCTTAATTTTTCATTGCCTCTAACTTTTTCTAATCTTTTCTCAGTTAATTTAGCTAAATTTTTTGTGATCATCTGGTCATACTGCTGACGTCACAAAGCCGTTTCTGGATCATGTCAACTCTTTTTGTTACTAGTGCACAAAGTAAACTTTTCAAATAACTGAGTCACATACACAGCAACGTTTCGATATCGGTATATTGGAAATTGTTGGGATATCTTTTTTAAAACAACTCCATTTACTCACTAACTGACTGTTCGTCTGGCCATTTTAAGTGAGTACAGCGAGCGATTAAGCCGTTACGTATTCAAGGTCTACAAAAGCATGCCAGGAAAGTTTATTTTTATACGTTGATACGTACATACGTATGTATAATGTATGTATATGTATGCATACACAGGTGCCAATAGATCCATGCAAGCACAAGTACATAGGTTGGCAGGTATGTAAATATTAAAACACGAATATCTTTGTATACAGTCAATGCACGAATTCGTAATTTCCCACTGGGTAGGAATGTTTATCTGCTTGTAGCAAATTGAATTTTGTAATTATTATTTGTTTTATGGACTTACAAATTTTTTTGTGCTAAAGCTTCAAGGTCGATTGTTTTGAATGACGTTCGAAGTCATACATATATATAATAACGATTCGAGGGGGTAGCAGGTGTTTTTGATAACGCCATTTCTATTTAATAGACTTCTCGGAAATCGGGCGAATGCGTATAGCCATACCGCCTAATAACAAACTAACAGGGCAATTCTGCCACCTGTCTTTCCAACTCACCACTGCCTTTCGAAAGGCAAAAGTTTTTCGTAAGCCAATTGTCAACTCCGGCAACCATATTAAAAGCTCTCTACCTCTGCTAACGAGGAGGTCTTGGCGTTATGCTGTTCGCCTGTTAGCAATAACTTTTTTACAAATTAAATTAAATTAAAAAATATATATTTTTCTCTTTAAACCATAAAAGAAAATTAAAATCAGCAAAAATTAATGAAAAGTATTTTCAAAAATTAGATAAGAGTAAAAAATAATTTTTTGTTTTTAAAACAATAAAATCTAAACATTCAATTAGCAAAAGAAAAAAATTAAATTAAAAAAGAGGGGAATATTACACAAAAATTAGATAAGGTTAAAAAAAATATATTTTTAACACACAATCTAAAAATTAAAACAAAATTATCTTAAAAATTACAAAAAAATAAAATGCAATCCTAAAATGAAAAGAAATTAAAAAAATTTAATTTCTTTTTTAAACAATAGAACAAAAAATTAAAAGAAAATGAAATAACCAAAAAGACAAATTAAATTTAAAAAAATAATAAATAAAATGACTTTCCGAAAATTTTATGAAATTAAAAAAATATTTATCTTGTTTTAACAATAAAATTTAAATATTAAAAGAAGTTAAACTAAAATAGAAGAGTTATTAAAAATATACAAACAACTACCTAAATATTTATTTAAATTTAATAAATGTATTTTTTTAACCGTAAAAAAATAAAGAAATTTAAACTAAAAACAGAAAAAAACTTTATTTAAAAAAAAAATTCCTAAAAATTAAAAAAAATTAAAAAGATTTTGTTTTTAAACGAATAACTACTGAACATTAAATAAAAATATATAAAAAAATAAATAAAAAGGAAAAAAGAAGTTTCCAAAAATTAAATGAAAATAAAAAATAAATATGTATACATATTTTTCTTTTTATAAACGAATCGCTAAACGCTTGGAAAATTTTGGGAAGTAATGCAAATTTTTTACCAACGCCAATTTAGCGTTTATTGAAAAAAAAAAATCAAAAAATAATATTTTCTAACGAAGCGTAGATATCTTAATCTCGGCGGGTATGATCGGAAAACCCGCACGTGATCGTTGATAAGCCAATACATGCTCTCAGAGTGTGACAGTTTGGTGCGATTTTTGGAGCGGTGAAATCATTGCTCTGTTTTTCTCTTGAAAATGCTGCTACAAACGCCATTTAGGTCAACGGTAAGCAGTACAGGAGTATGATAAACGATTTTTTGTGGTCTGAAATTTAATATATGGACTTGGACAACCTTTGGTTTCAGCTGGACGGTGCGTCCTGCCACACAGCTCATGCCACAATCGATCCTGGGCTAACAGGAAGCGCTACTGCAAAGCCAGCCGAGACAGTCACATGAATGAAGTCGTTTTGCGTAAATAATGGGAATCTTTGATCCTTCGAATACCAAAGTTCATCTCGGTTGCGAACGTATCCAACAACTTTGACTGTTTTCTGCATGTTGGCTCCATCCAACATACACATATGTATATATTGTTGT